TAAGGCCTGTGTGAATGTGTCTGTCCTTACCCTGTATATGGGGGTACCGTGTTAAGGCCTGTGTGAATGTGTCTGTCCTTACCCTGTATATGGGGGTACCGTGTTAAGGCCTGTGTGAATGTGTCTGTCCTTACCCTGTATATCGGGGTACTTGGCCATAAGCAGCAGGCCCCAACGCAGTGTGGTCGCAGTGGTGTCAGTTCCAGCTAGAAACAAGTTAGCCACACTAATTAAGAGGTTCTCGTTATGGTAGTGGGCAGAATTTCGCTGCGAGGGTATCTGTTGGAGACAGTGGAATATAGAGAAGTACAATCAATGGCAACTTAATTTTCTGGAATCAATCTGGGGATTGATGAACCTGTCAATGATCTCAGCATCTTCACCTTTTGTTGTTGGATGAGGAAGGAGTCCACAAACCCTCTCCTGTCCTCAGCATTAAAGGTTTCCTGAAGCTTACTTATGAGTCTTTTAATCTGAAATAGATTGCATCTGAAACTCTCCATTAGATCTTCCCTATCCTTAAACACCCAGCTGAGGGAGGGAAATGCATTATAGAGCTGCAAGAAGACAGAGAAGATAAGTCACAAGCTGTATGGCTGGTAGCTCATTAGAACAACACAATCATGAAGAAAACCTTCTGAAAAACTTTTTTGTATCTGGCTTTTAAAGGCACATTCAGTATTTGAGAGTAAAGCCAATGGAAACTTGTCAGAGTACCTGGACTCCTGGTGACCCCAAGAGAAGTGTACTTCTGTTTGAAGTTTTGACCATTTCTTGGAATTGAGGGTCAGTATAGTCAAACCGACTGCCAAAAATAATGGATGATATGATGTTGGACATGGAGTAGGTCAATCCTTTGGTGATGTCAAATGGTTTACCTGTCAACAGGTTATAAACAAACATGTTAAAACATTAACCCTAAAAAATATAAATATTTCTAGAATTTAAACAAATATAAACAGACAGACAGACAGATCCACTCGATGATAGAAATGGCATCTACATATATGGTGTATGATGCAATACAAAAAGATACCATTATGATGAAGTTTCCCCTGATTCTGTTACTTTTGAAGTACCTTTCCTCTCAAGCCCATATTAGTTCTCCCTGGGTCTTCAAAGCTTGTCATTGCCTCTACAGTGTCTCCACAGTTCTTCCACGCTGTTGCTGCTGCCCTAGCTTCTGGTTCAGAAAGTGCCATTCTGCCGGTGCTCCAGGCTACCGGCCCAGAGAGGGCTGCTTTGGCCGCCTCCAGGTGTCCCAGCTTCTCCCTGTTCACCTCCAGGTGTCCCAGCTTCTCCCTGTTCACCTCCAGGTGTCCCAGCTTTGTCCTGCTCACTGTCAGCTCCAGCCTCGCTGTCACCAGCCGTCATGTAGGCTTCCATCTCATCTCCTGACCTCTTGCCAGCGCCCTCCTCATCTCCTGATGTCACCCAGTTGCCTGCCTCGCCTCTTGCCATTACCTAGGGGCCAACCCTGTCTCCTGCCGTCACCCAGGTGCCCTCCTCCTTTCATTGTCCAGATGGCCTCCTCATTCCTTGCAGGTTGCCGCCAGGCCAACACTCAACCTCTGTGTTACCACCAGAGGAGATGGACCTGGACGATACCACTCTGGAAGACTTAGCATGGGACCCTCTGGGCCTTGGCCTTAATCCCACTCTGAGGACCATCACTTTTGCCCAACGATCACACCAACCCGGCCATAAGTCTTGGTGCAGTCAGCGAGCCTTCTGCTCCTATCCCTGTATCTGCTCCTGTCCTGCAGCCCCTCGTCATCCTCCTGCTCCGGTCTTGCAGTGTCCTCTTCGCCTTCCTGTCCTGCAGCCCCTCATCCTCCGGTCCCGCTGGCACCTCGGTACCCGCCAGCCCCACTGGTCCTCTGAAGCCCTCAGGCCCAGATGGATTCCTCCTCACTGCTGAACAGGTCTGTTCTCTGCCTTCCTCCATTCCTCCCATTCAGATCCCTGAAGGTCCTGTTTATTTTCAGTTATTGTTAGTTTGAGTTAAATAAACCTTCTTCTGCTGCTCCCGCAGGCTTTGTCCCACCTGACATGACACTTATTTTACAGAAACAAAATTCCATTCTATGTCACACATCAGTATTATCTCACCTTTGAAGTTTTCAAACAAATCTGTGACATAGTGGAGCTCTTCAATGATTTTCTCTTCCATTTGTTGTTTGCCCATCCCAAAATCACGAAGGCTGGTTAGAGCAAAGCGTCTCATCTCCTTCCATGAGTCTCCATTTGCAAACAGGATTCCTGTATAAGTTGAGAGACTTTCAGTTATGTCAGTATGATCTATTTACAGCATTCATAGTATTACCATGAATATCTGTGTACACAATGTATCCTGTTCAGGATTAAAACCCCACCTAAATTAGTGTCCCATATCCAACAACAGAAAGCTTAAAGACCAGTGAGACACCTACATTTGTCCCGAGAACATTCCCCCAATTTAAAAATGGCATTCCAGCTTTCAATATCCGGGTATCTCTTTTGTGAAATTAATGAAATAAAAAGCTGTTCTAATTAAAAATATCCACCATGACATCTAAATGACCCCATGATGTCATTCACAAAGTCTTTAATCACCGAACATGCTTTAATAGATATTCACATACCGTGACCGTTGGCTAAATCCTGAAATATCGGCAATTTGGCCCGCTGACCAAACTCCTCAGGAAAGTTAGCAAGGGCCTCTCTAACGGTCTTAAAGCCTGCAAGAACCACACATTTCCTTGAGCCAAAGTGAATGGTGAACACTTGCCCATATTTTTGTGATAGCTGTAGGAAAAACAGAGAAAAAAGGGAAACTTCAGTTACTATTAAAGTGTATTCTGGGATTCAGAACATGAAACCATAACCAGTCTGTCATCAAAAGTCAATTTAAAATAATTCCCTTAAAATCTAAGATTAATCAGTAGATCATGGGCAAACATTCTGAAATCAGTAGCTCAGTTTAAACCAGAGTTGGACTGGGATTACAAATCAAATTTGTTCATTTGCCCAGACAGGTCCACCACACATATGTCCCCACAATCCATTTCTTCGATCGACAGTCAGGGATCCCCCACAAGAAATTTGCTGGCCCCCATACCCTTCCGCTGTCTGACAAAGTGCATGGCTGGAAGACCAACCCTGGTGTAAACTGGGTTTTGACCTCCGTTAAAAAATCCTCCACAAAACTATTTCTAGTAAAAGAAATTCCTATTTTGTCAATCACTGTGTTTGCTATGCATTTATTTCATATTTTTTTATATCTGCAATAAGTTAATTTGGACATTTCAAATAATTAATAAGTACATATTTTTAATACCGTATGTCATAATGGACTGATTATAATTTAAAAAATATATCTTTAAATCTCCCCAGCTGATATATAAAATTATGGAAATTAATTAGTTATTTTGGCTATCTGTGTTCATCTCACACCTGACGACTTTAAGGCTGTCAGACAATGCAAGTCTTGAAATTGGTGCAATGAATATTGGTCATTTTCAACCACAAATGATAATGTGTCTTTTTTCAGAATTAATATTTAATCAAAACTTAATAATGACACATGATGATTACAAAATGTATCCATCCATTTTTAAATGGTTTATCCTGGTCAGAGTCATGCGATTTATTTAGCCCAAACTTATTCCATTTGTAAATTTTACTGATTCACATTTGAATCGATTGATTTTATTTTATTTATCTATACAATAATCTGCATTCTTTGTTCGTCTCTTTATTTTTCTACAGCATCACAGGTACCATGTAATTTTAATTTCACTCTGAGTAAAAGACCTCATCTTTCAAAAAGTCAGAAGATCATTTCTTCCAGTCAAAAAGAAGTGTAGTATGAGTATTGAGAAATATATGATCTCATCTGAAATATACACAAAGAGTTATGGGTTAGATGGTGTCATCTGGTTGGCTCCGGTCTGGGTCAAACCTCAGAGAGGGGGGGGCATCTGCCTTGATATTCTTCTCTACTGGCAGGTAGGTGAATGTGAGCTAGAAATGAGCCTAAAAACATGCGCATTGGGCTTGCCAAGGTTTCAGGCTCTTAGTGTTACAGACATATTCCACATTCTGGTGGTCAGTTAGAACCTAGAAAGGGTGATGGGCTCCTTAAAGCCAGCGT